GGTAGATGTGACAGATCTAGGGGTAGGAAGGTAGATAGGACAGATTTAGGGGTAGGAGGGTAGAATGGACAGATCTAGGGGTAGGAAGGTAGAATGGACAGATCTAGGGGCAGGAGGGTAGATGTGACAGATCTAGGGGTAGGATGGTAGATAGGACAGATCTAGGGGTAGGAAGGTAGATGTGGCATATCTAGGAGTAGGAAGGTAAATAGGACATATCTAGGGGTAGGATGGTAGAATGGACATATCTAGGGGTAGGAAGGTAGATGTGACATATCTAGGGGTAGGATGGTAGATAGGACATATCTAGGGGTAGGAAGGTAGATGTGACATATCTAGGAGTAGGAAGGTAGATAGGACATATCTAGGGGTAGGATGGTAGAATGGACAGATCTAGGGGTAGGAAGATAGAATGGACAGATCTAGGGGTAGGAAGGTAGATAGGACATATCTAGGGGTAGGATGGTAGAATGGACAGATCTAGGGGTAGGAAGATAGAATGGACAGATCTAGGGGTAGGAAGGTAGATAGGACATATCTAGGGGTAGGATGGTAGAATGGACAGATCTAGGGGTAGGAAGGTAGATGTGACATATCTAGGGGTAGGATGGTAGATAGGACAGATCTAGGGGTAGGAAAGTAGATGTGACATATCTAGGAGTAGGAAGGTAGATAGGACATATCTAGGGGTAGGATGGTAGATAGGACATATCTAGGGGTAGGAAGGTAGAATGGACAGATCTAGGGGTAGGATGGTAGATAGGACAGATCTAGGGGTAGGATGGTAGATAGGACAGATCTAGGTGTAGGAAGGTAGATAGGACAGATCTAGGGTAGGAAGGTAGATAGGACAGATCTAGGTGTAGGAAGGTAGATAGGACAGATCTAGGGTAGGAAGGTAGATATGACATATCTAGGGGTAGGAAGGTAGATGGGATAGATCTAGGGGTAGGACGGTAGATAGGACATATCTAGGGGTAGGAAGGTAGATAGGATAGATCTAGGGGTAGGACGGTAGATAGGACATATCTAGGGGTAGGAAGGTAGATAGGATAGATCTAGGGGTAGGATGGTAGATAGGACATATCTAGGGGAAGGAAGATAGATAGGACAGATCTAAGGGTAGGAAGATAGATAGGATAGATCTAGGGGTAGGATGGTAGATAGGACACATCTAGGGGCAGGAGGGTAGATGTGACATATCTAGGGGTAGGATGGTAGATAGGACATATCTAGGGGTAGGACGGTAGATAGGACATATCTAGGGGTTGGATGGTAGATAGGACATATCTAGGGGTAGGATGGTAGAATAGACAGATCAAGGGGAAGGAAGGTAGATAGGACAGATCTAGGGGTAGGAAGGTAGATAGGACAGATCTAGGGGTAGGATGGTAGATAGGACAGATCTAGGAGTAGGAAGATAGACAGGACAGATCTAGGGGTAGGATGGTAGATAGGACATATCTAGGGGTAGGATGGTAGAATGGACAGATCTAGGGGTAGGATGGTAGATAGGACAGATCTAGGGGTAGGATGGTAGACAGGCAAACGCATACACCCGGCACCAATGTACAAGGTGACGAGTACTGAAGCAAGGATAAATAGCCAAAGGTTTACAGCGAGCGGGAAGTTGGAAAAAGGACGCGTTTCCATGACATTCTCTGCTAGTCCAAAGTCAAAAGGTTCTCCTTGATTTGTCCTCCGTTACAGACGCAGCTAATGGAGCCTTTTGACCTTGAGCGTGAGTCGAGGTTTGAGCGAGAGTCCGGGTTTGCTACGGGGTGAAGAAGATACAACAAGCGGCAGATACGAAAGTCTACAGGAAAGAGACGGAAACTCTGAGCAGCAGCAACGTCAAGCAGGGCTCTACGTCATATGGGGGTTCACGTCTGCTTCTCGAAAAGCGACCGTTTGGATCTACAATGGAGGACATGACTGTCCCATGACGTCAGACCTGGAGGTCGGCCCGGGGTCACGGGGTCAGTGGTGAGAATTGGGTCACTCCTTCCCTCGGGGTTCTCTGCGAACACTCGGAAGACATACTCGTTGCCTTCGAGAAGGTTCTGAACACAGTAGCTGTGGATGGATGGCTTGACCGTATCCACTTTGATCCAGGCGGTGTACTTGGTGTCCCGCCGCTCGATGTAGTAGCCCGTGAGGTCAAGGCCACCGGTGCTCAGAGGCGAGCGCCAGCGGATTGTGACGTCAGTGATACCCACGTCCTCGATCACGATTGGTCCTTGAGGCGCATCTGGCACGCCTAATATGGTCATGAGAGAACCGGGCAAGGTATTGAAGGGGACGGAAATGTCTGACATGGCAATGGTGGAAGAGTGGGCTCTTTGAAGGTTGGTTTTTTATTATTTTATTTCTTGGAAACTGTTATTTCTGACAGAAGAGTAAGCTGTTTGATTTGGGGTGTTTTTGTCGGAAATTGTTACCTCTAAACAGAGGAGAAAGAAAGAGTTTAAATGTCAAGAGAGACAATTCACTTTTAAAGTTAAAATATCCTTTGTGAAATTTTCACGGACATTTTCTAAAAAAATATGCCAGATCAATAAAACAGAAAAAATATAAATGTGAGGCAGCGTGGTGGAATCAGGCTCTCGTCAATTTTTGGGCATCTAGAGTTATTGGTATCATCTTAAAGCTTATTCACTTGTCTTTATAAGTATGAAAAATATATACATTTATCTTGAATACAAGTCGAGATATTTGCAAAAGAAGGAGGTGGGGGTCACCTGTTTTAAGTGGTAAAATTAGTGAGAAAATGGCCGCCAAAGATTAATTATTTCCTTAGCTTAAGGGTCCGTGGTAATTGAAAATTTACATTTTTGTGCTTTTAATCAACGCTTTTCAGAAAATTCCACACAGAAATGAGTTCTTTTATGGGCATGAAAGGTGCTGAGCCAAAAAACAAAAATTTGATAAAAATTCACAACCCTGCGGAAAAATGCAAATTTCTTCCCTTTGATTATTTTGACGAGAGCCTGATTCCACCACGCTGCCTCACAAATGTTAATGTTAGCTTTCACAAACTCCACCTCCATAACAACTTCATGAATAATCAATAAGCCACTCCAACGTAGTGAACTATCTTGTCACAAACGTAATTTGCATAAAACAACAGTATGAGTGCTCCAAAACAAAACGTGTGTCATTAGTTGTGTAAAAATAAAACACACTAAAAACAATATTGTTACCAATTTAACATTATAATAGGTTTAATAATAAAAAAAATTAATAAAACATGCTCTGAAACATAGCATAGTGCTTGTGCGAAAGCGTGATATATCAAACAAAGCGGTGTATAAATATACATATAATATACAGTTGTGCGGTGTGGTAGTTAATTGTGTTAAGCCGTGATTGGTCTTGTAATAAAACAACAGAATCATAAATCTACAACCACACGTATCTAAATATACATCACAATTTATGTTATCATCATCTTCATCATCGCTATTCGGAGATAAGTAGACTGACTATCTTTCTCCCTGTGGAAGCACATTATAAAACCGTGCCTGTGTGGTACTTGTGGGTGGTTGGCGGGTGCTCTGGTGTGGTTTGCTCCTTCTTTCCTATCAAACATCTATCGTCCTTATCTCCCCTCCTTCTTTTTTATGTATGTTACTCTCATGTAACACCTCTAATCTTCGGCACCTATATGACCTTATTGTATTGCAAGTACCGTAAAGCTATTCATCACCATCCAGTGCCAGATCTGCGACAGACATCGGCGATCATGGTTCTCCATTCATTCCTTTGCTCGGATGCTCTAAAAAAAAGCTACGTTTCCCTGCTCTTTCCCTGTTACCCATTTGTTTAGGTTCTCTAAGTATGTTGTTCTGGGCCTACCCCTGCCTCGCTTGCCCTCAATTTGTAAAGCTATTACTAAAACAAAACAACAAAAAACCTGTGTGGTACTTACTGAACGGCGTCCTAGGCTTGTACGGCGTGCTGGTCTCGATGGACTTAGACGCGCCCACAGCATTCTCAGCGAACACCCGGAAGTGGTAGTCCTGTCCCTCCTTCAGGCCAGGCACCACGTGGGTCAGCGGTTGACCTTCAGCCTCGGGCTTGACCTTGGCCACGTGGGACCAGGAGGACTTCCAGCTCTCGCGCTTCTCCAGCACGTAGTGGACAATAGGCGACCCGCCGTCCTCGCGGCTCGGGCCCCAGGTCAGGGTCAGGGTCGTCTTGGTGAACTCTGTCAGGTTGATCGGGGGCTCGGGCGGGCCTGGTTTCTCTGGAGAGGTTCGATGTGAAACATGTGTGTGTCATTCAAGAATTAATGACATTACGAAACTCACTTTGAGTCTAGAGAATCACATCTATCAACAAATAACGGTCATTTGGTGTACGGAAGAAACACGACAGATTAACCACCACAAAAAATAATAACATTTTTTTTTAAATTAAAAAATTAAAAATCTAGAGATAAAGAGACGAAACTGGACCAGTAGCGCTCTCCAACCACCCGCTTACGACACTCAATAGATTTATCAGGTTTTATACACTTTTGACATTAGCAACTAGCTTCAAGCTGTCCTTATAACGTTTATCTCGCAGCGGAGGGCATAAAGGTGTAGGCTGGAGGAGACGATTGTACTTTTAAAAAATTCTCATAAATTATTCTCCTGCCTTGGTAGTCGAAAACGAATCTCAATCCCACCAGCTCGTGTCTTGCCCGTTGCTTACATACTGACACCCCTGTACAAGACTTAGTGTGTAGGTTTAATTGGTTGGTATTAAGCACCACAAGGGAGCTATCCCGAAAAATGCTGTTTTGAGAAAATTGAAGGTAATTTTTGCCCCTTGTTCAGTTCCTTTAAAAGACAAGGAGATTTTTCTCTATAAACAAACAAATATACACACCAATGAAACCAAACTTCTCCTATAGGTAGGGATATGCCCACTTTTAGTGTAAGTCAAGATTTCTGGAAACCCCCGAAATCTGGGTAAGCCCACTTGTCCTTAAAAGCGACCAATTATGTGACGTGAGAGAACTCACCAGGCGGTCTCTCCAGTTTGACCATCTCTGACTCGAGCCAGTCGCTCTGTCCGATCTTGTTGACCGCAGACACCCGGAACCTGTACTCCTTGCCCTCCTCAAGGTCATGAACCTTGAACTTTGTGCTGTAGCTCTCCACCTTGGGAAGGAGAAAAAGCAAACATTTGAAGACATAGGCACACACACACACACACACACACACACACACACACACACACACACACACACACACACACACACACACACATTTAACGACATACATACACTTAAAAAAATACAGAAAACATGCATCGTTCTCATTCTTCAGAAATGATTAATATTATTACTATTATTATCATTATCATTATTATTATTATTATTATTATTATTATTATTATTATTATTATTATTATCATTATTATCATTTTATTTTTATTATCATTATCATTATCATTACCATCATCATTATTATTATTATTATTATTATTATTATTATTATTATTATTATTATTATTATTATGGTCATTATTATTATTATCATCATCATCATTATTATTTTTATCATTATCATTATCATTAGTATTATTATTAGTTAATATTAGTATTTTTATCATTATTATTATTTATTTAAAAAAGATATTCTAACCAACCGCAGCAAACATCAATCCAATACGCATGATTTAAAAACATTTCTTTCCGGCATAAGTGGTCAGAAATGAATCATTTATTTTGTTTTCATTTTCCTCACCTTTGACAGTTTGACCCAGTCCTTGTCACCTACGCACATTTCGATGACGTAGTTCTTCAAGTCGGAGCCGCCATCGTCAGCTGGTGGTTGCCAGGTAACGGTGACTGACGTAGCCGTGAAGTCTGACAGACGGACGGGGCCTTTGGGGGGAGAGGGGGCTTCTGGGGATGTCACATACAGAGATATGTTGTTAGACACACACATACACACACACACACAGAGAGAGAGAGAGAGAGAGAGAGAGAGAGAGAGAGAGAGAGAGAGAGAGAGAGAAGGGGAGGGGGAGAGAGGGAGAGAGAGGGACAGACAGACAGACATACGGGGCCTTTGGGGGATGGGGATTTTTAGGGATTTCACATATAGATATTTGTTGTTAGCAGAGAGAGAGAGAGATGGGGAGGGAGGGGAGAGGGAGAGAGAGAGAAAGATAGATAGATAGATAGATAGAGAGAGAGAGAGAGAGAGAGAGAGAGAGAGAGAGAGAGAGAGAGCGCGCTGATATCTGAGCTATCTACGGCTATTGTGATAACACTCTCTATAGATAACTCCAAATGCTAGCTCCAACTATTGCCTCCATCTCTCGCTATGACAACTATCCACGGAGAACTCACCGGCAGCTCGGAAAGGCTTGATGGTCTTGGATGCCTCCAGAGGCGGACTCACACCTTCCTTGTTCTCCGCCATGACCCGGAAGTAGTAGTCCACGCCCGTGGTCAGGTTCTGCACCACGTATGATGTAATATCCGGGCTGACCTTCTCTACAGACGTCCATGAACTCCTCTTGGCGTCTCTGCGCTCGATGATGTAAGCGGTCAGTGGTTGACCTCCGTCTGTCTTAGGAGGCTTCCAGGTCAAGGTCACAGACGTGGCTGTGACGTCAGAGGTCTCGAGAGGTCCCTCCGGCGCGCTGGGCGGGCCGAATGGATGTTTGGGCGTGACGGGATCCGACTCCAGAGGTTGTGATCGTCCCACGCTGTTCTCGGCCATGACCCGGAACACGTACTCTTGTGATTCCTTCAGGTTCTGGGCGCAGTAGCTGGTGTGGAGAAGATGGACAGTGTGTTCAGAAGGTGAATAGGACAGGGAAAAGGATTTGGTTTGAGTAAAATGAAGCGCATCATGCAAGGCAATGACGGTTTCCACCCCTTCCCCCAACCCCCCATAAACAACAAAACAAAACAAAAAAGCAACCTCCCCCCAAAAACAAAAAACAAAAAACCCACCGACTCCCAAAAAACAACAAAAAGAAACCCCCAACAAGTAATATGATTCTAGACCATAACAAATATCCCAATCTAACCTGTAAAATAATAAGACCCTTATACCTTTCCTGACTCCCAACGAACCGACTATGAATCTGCTTTGGGGCATATCAAGTAAGTGAAGATCTGACGGGAGGGGATGGGGGGGGGGGGGGTAGTACTTGGGCAACCTACTTCCTCTATGCCCGAGCTGTATATTTATCATGCATGATGCTTTAGTCATTGTCCATTTCGATATACAGTAAAACAAACACTGTAAATAACATTGGTTGTAACAATTCTCGGAAAAGACAAGAAAGAAATTACAATTTTTCCACTTTTCTGAGAACCGTTGTTCACGCACATTCACAAGGAACTCTGCACATTATTGGAATATGAAAGTAGAAATGACAACAACTTTGTCATCTGCAACAGAAAAATGACTACAACTTCGTCAGCTGTAACATAAATAACTACAACTTTGTCAATTGCAATAGAAATAATTACGACTTTGTCACCAGCAACAGGAAAGACTACAACTGTGTCAGAAGGTAACAGAAATAACTGCAACTTGGTCAATTTCAGCAGAAAGGACTGCAATTTGGTCAGCTGCTACACAAATAACCCCAACTTGGTCAGCCTCAGCAAAGACCACGTGACTCACCTAGTGATGCCAGGAGCGACTGACGTCACAGGAGACCAGGAGGACTTCCAGGCCTCGCGGCGCTCGATGACGTAAGCAGTGATTGCGTCACCTCCATCGTCCTCGCTCTCCTGCCAGGTGAAGGTCACAGACGTCCGCAGGATCTCCGTGAATGTGATGGGGCCCTTCGGGGGCGACGGTTTGGCTGTGGGGGGGGGGGGTGGAAGAGGAGGAGAGAGAGACACAGAAACATAACATTAGTGGCCCCATCTACTCAGGGAATTGCAAACAATAAAGAAGAATTTGAGGGTGGTTGGCGAGTGCTCTAGTGTGGTTTCTTCTTCTTTCCTTTCAAATATCTATTGTCCTTACCTCCCTTTTTTCTTTTTTAAAAAATGTTTGTTACTCTCTTGTAACACCTCTAATCTTCTGGCACTCATATGGCCTTATACAGTTGCTAGCGCCTTAAAACCTCTACTAAAACTAAACTAAAGGAATTTCATAGAAAAAAGAAGAGCTTGAGGGAGTTTGGCGGGTGCTCAGTTGAGGTTTGCTACATCTTTATTATCAAATTTCTATTCTATTGTTTTCATTTCTCTTCCTTCTTTTATTTCTACGTTAAATCTAAACACTTCTAATTTTCGGCACTTGTATGACATATCTGTGTTTCAAACGCTGTACACTTTACTTTACTTCTATCCGCCGCTTATACCCTTTTGGATGTGGTTCGAGCCTCAGCTGGGTCCGACGTTGTGTCCTTGGGAAAGGCACTTTACACGAACTTCCCACTTGGCTCGGTCCTATCGGAGACGGGCGTTAAACTAGGAGGTCCCGCCCCTTTTATAACCTAATAGTGTTGATAGGGGCGTTAAACCCTTACCATTTCCCCATTTTTCCTTTTGGATGTCGCGGACAATTCTTATTAAAACGTTAACAAAAAAACAAACAACCAAAAGCAGGACTTACTGGCTGGCTTCTTGGGTCTGACAGATTTCTCCGTCTCCAGAGGTTTGCCCTGACCCAGTTTGTTCTCAGCCACCACAGCGAAGAAGTAGTTGGTCTTGTCGCTCAGCTTCTTGAATGTGAAGGTCGAATCCAGATAGCCGACCTTGCCGGCCTCAACCCACTCGTCTGAGCCATCCTCGCGGTACAGCAGACGATAGCCCGTGATTTTGGAGCCCCCGTCAGACTTTGGCGCGCTCCATTCAACGCTGACGTAATCTTTGCCAATGTCCTTGACCTTGAGGTTGGTTGGGGCTCCTGGGGTGGCTACAAAAACAGAACAGAAAAGGGGCATGAAATTTAAAAAATGAAAGGTATCGGTGAGATTAAAAGAGAAAAAAACAAAACAAAACCCTTTATGGAACGATATTATGATGTTTGTTTAAAGGACAAACCGTTAGCATTTGAATAGCTTTCCCAAGGAATAGCCACATCAGTAGAGTAAAACAAACTTTGTACTAGTTTCTAGAACATCATCATCATCATCATCATCATCATCATCATCATCATCATCATCATCATCATCCGGTGCCTTGCCGACTGGCGTGGGCGATCATGGACCTCCACTTCACCCTGTCCTGCGCTGCAGCTATGGTGTCTGTTGTCCTTGCTGCTCCTAGCCATGTTGTCATCTTGTCCAGTTCCAGTATCTTTTCCCTCTGTCTGCCTCTGCCCCTGCCTCTCCTTCCACCAAACTTGCCTGTTGTTACAATATTCTTCAATGCTTCTTTCCGCATTGTGTGTCCGAAGAAATCTGCCTGTCGCTTTCTTCATAAGCTGTCTTCTGCAAGTTCTAGATACCTTCTTGTAAATCTGAACATTTTAACATCCAACTAAGTTCATAATATAAAACTTGAGGTACAAGAAATTAAAGTGAGAAGAAATAATAATATGTTCATGGTAATGCTCACCAGCTGGTTTCTGTGGTTTTACAAACTCCAGAGATTCCAGAGGCTGACCTTCACCTTCGTCGTTGACGGCCGTGACCCTGAACGTGTACTCATTGCCCTCGATCAGTTTGTCCGCCGTGAAGCTGGTGACGTCACCAGGCACGGAGCCGGCCTTCATCCATGACGTCCTTCTTGCGTCACGGTACTCGATGACGTAGTTCTTGACGGGCTTTCCGCCGTCACTGCTGGGTGGTTTCCATGACAACGTCACTGAGCTGTCAGTCAGGTCGGAGAACTCGATGGGGCCCAGAGGCTTGCTGGGCTTGTCTGTGGGAGGAAGGGGGGGGAGTAAAGACGTGAGCATTTGAGGCATTGGGAAAGAAAACATTTAAAATGTTTATTGGGTTAAAGACAAGTGAACACACACTGGACAAGTATGCAGATATGCAGTCACACACAAGTAAAAAAGACAGAAAGAGAAACTCTCGCTAGCCAAGTACAAAAGACAGAAACAGAAACGCCCGTTAATCTAGTAAAAAAAAAAGACAAAAATAAAGTAAAAAAGACAGACAGAAACAGAAATGCCCGTTAATCTAGTAAAAAAAGACAAAAATAAAGTAAAAAAGACAGACAGAAACAGAAATGCCCGTTAATCTAGTAAAAAAAAAAGACAAAAATAAAGTAAAAAAGACAAACAGAAACAGAAACGCCCGTTAATCTAGTAAAAAAAACAACAGAAATAAAGTAAAAAAGACAGAAATAAAGTAAAACAGACTGAAACAGAAACGCCCATTAATCAGATAAAAAAGACAGAAATCAAGTAAAAAGTCTCGCTAGCCACGTAAAAAAGACAGAAACAGAAACTCTCGCTAGCCAAGTAAAAAAGACAGAAACAGAAACTCTCGCTAGCCAAGTAAAAAAGACAGAAACAGAAACTCTCTCTAGCCAAGTAAAAAAGACAGAAACAGAAACTCTCTCTAGCCAAGTAAAAAAGACAGAAACAGAAACTCTCGCTAGCCACGTAAAAAAAGCCACTCACCAAACTTGCTCTTGGGCGTGACGCTAGCACTGGTGGCCAGAGGCTCACTCGCCCCGACCTTGTTCTCAGCGATGACCCTGAAGTTGTAGTCAGTGCCCTCTGTCAGGCTGGGCACGCGGATCGTAGTCACTTCCGGTCCGACGCGGTCCACCTTGGTCCAGGTGGGTCTCTTGGAGTCCTTCCTCTCCACCAGGTAGCCGGTGAGGGGGGAGCCTCCGTCATTGTCAGGTGGCAGCCACTCCAAGGTCACGGACGTTTTCTCGATGTCTGTGGCCTTGAGCGGACCTTGAGGGGAGTCTGGTTTGGCTGTGGGAACAAAAGAGAAATGTAATTTGTCTTTGTATTATTGGTGGGAAACAAGCAAGAAATAACAGTTGCCTTTGTATTATGGGTGGGAAACAAACGAGAAATAATTGTCTTTGTATTATTGGTGGGAAACAAACCAGAAATAATTGTCTTTGTATTATTGGTGGGAACAAAGAAGAAATAATTGTCTTTGTATTATTGGTGGGAAACAAGCAAGAAATAATTGTCTTTGTATTATTGGTGGGAAACAAGCAAGAAATAATTGTCTTTGTATTATTGGTGGGAAACAAGCAAGAAATAATTGTCTTTGAAGTTGTGGTAGGAACAAGCAAGACATTTAATTTGTCTTTGTATTTTTGATGGAAGCAAACAAGAAATATTTGTCTTATTAAATGGTATTATAATTTTCTAGACACAAATAATATATAACTGTCTTTGTACTTTTGGTGGGATCAAACAATAAATTATTGTCTTTTTATTATTTGCGGGAACGGACCATAAATATTTGTCCTTGAATTATTGATGGAAACAAATAATAAATAGTTTTCTTTGTATTATTGTTGGGAACAAGCAATAAATTATTGTCTTTTTATTATTGACGTGAAAGGACAAAAATATTTGTCTTTGTATTTCTTTATGGAAGCAAACAACAAGTATTACAATTTTGTCCTTGTATTATTGGTGGGATCAAAGAATAATTAATACCTGTTTTTGTATTTTTGGTACGAACAAACACTAATTAGTTGTATTTGTATTTTTGGTAGGAACAAACAAGAAATAGTTGTCTTTGTATTATTGGTGGAAACAAGCAATAAATTATTGGGGTTTTTTTAATTATTGACGGGAACGTACAAAAATATTTGTCTTTGTATTTTTGATGTAAGCAAATAAAAAAATATATTTTGTTTTTGCATTATTGGTGGAAACAAACAATAAATTGTATTCGTAGTTTTTCATTTATTTTCGGTTGGAACCCTGAGACACTACAACATCTCAACTGAAAAAGCTGCAGAGTTGACCTACCATAGAAAACTACATCTTCCCTTAACGCACAGCGGCAACAGGGGATGGGAAAAAATAAAACCAAGTGATTTTCGGTTCGAGATAAGATAAAAAGAAATAAGATAAAGTAGATCAGATTACGAAAATTTGCATTGATTCATGATGCAAATTGTTAAATGTATTTTAAAACGATATTGATATCTTCTATTCAGACGAT